GGTGTGTTCACTTCTTTGCCAGAGTGGCCGTCCATATCACCTCCAGTAGTGCTGGCTGCAAGTGACCAGGCACCCTTGGTCGTGGTTGGAGAAGCTATGCAACGACTGCAGCAGATTATGCCCGAATCAAAGTTGGAGTTCATCCCCAACAGCAAATGGTCGTGGCACTTGGAAGGTGGGCGTGGACCGATGTTTCTATTTCTGCCTGACATGCAGACAATGCAAAAAAATCATCAAAAGCATGTCAACAAGCAGAAACGCACACAACGTCGAGTAGGGCCATGGTTTATTTTTCTTGACATAGTTTGCTGTTGCTGTTGTTTCCTCATTCTTTCCATGGTAGTGCTGGGCACAGCCAAACTTGTATGAGGAGATGACGTCCGCGAAAGTGTGACGGATATGCTTGCAGCTCTTCTTCCACTCGGCAACTCTAACACTGTACCTGTAGTCACTTGGATCAAAGGTCATTTGTTTCTTCACATGCTTCAACTAGTGGTTGATGGGCACTGCTTGTACATAGCTACCTCTGCATTTGCTTTGTACATGTGTGACACACACTTGCATCTGCCATTTTGCAATTGTAGAAGTAGACATGGATAGTACCCACCCACATTTTCGCTGCTCATCGTGACTATGTAGCCTGCTGTGGAGGGTGAAATTTTTGACGCGGACACAGTTCCTAGCCCTGACATGGCAGCTTTGAACGAGGAGGCGGACCTGGCCTCCTCTTAACTTCGTGCTGAGGAGGCTGCAGTACCGGGCGAGGGAGCCCCACTATGGTGGAGAAGCTCGATTTGGGGGCCGAGCTTGACGAAGGCCCTTCACCTCTGAGTCCCAGGACATGCTGGAGGAGCACCACCCTGGCCTCCAGGTTTGCCCAGCAGCCAGCGCCAGCTGGGCCACCTTGCCCGCCTCTTGGTGGGCTGCTTCATGGGCAAGCCCCTGACGTGACGGGGCCCACGGTGACACGAATCCTCGAGCAGCACGTCACCCATGGCCAAGCAGGAGGCCATTTGGTCCATGAAATACAAGATGGCTCCGGCCTGGATTCGGGGACCAGCGGGGACATCGCCTTCACTGACATGTGTGCGGCTTGTTTTGCACCATGGACTGCGGCACCTCCCTGCGTCATCTGCGCACAATGAGCGGGATGGGGGTGGGATGGGATGGGGATCTGGTCTGTATCCAATTTGTTCGCATCCAAACAGACTAGCCGGTCTCTTCCCAGATGGTTGTTTCATTGGTGCCCAACCCTTGCCGGGTGCACATCAGGCAGGAGATCCTTTAAGCGATTGGCCCAGGCGGCCAAGCAAGGAACATGGCATCCCCGGCTGGTGCCACCAACGCCATCGGGTAGTCCTCGAGGGAGTATGTGGAGGACGGGGTCGGGGGTCGTATGCGTTGAACCTCCGAAGCTATGGTCAAATGCGAATTGTTCAGGAAAAGTGTGGAATGGTCGAAAATGAAGGTGCGTGTTGCCACAGTGTGAAGCTGTCATCGAGCGGGATGTTTTGGTGGTTGAAGCACCCCGTTCGCTGCCCTGCGCATGAATGTGCACGTGCCCTCGCTGCCCAAACTTCAAGGTGGATGCATCACGTAGCAGCCGAAGTGCTGATGCACATTGCCCATTGTTGTTAGCCTTCACCTTGGCCATCTTTGCTGCTGGCCTCCCTGTTGGCTCTTTGTTTGGCTTTGTGCTTCTTTGGCTGTTCTTGGTTTTGATTGTTCGAAAGTAGATGGTCGCGCGGCTTGAGGCCTTTCACCTTTTCTGTCTGATTGATATAGACTGTGTGGCTGGCCTTCCAAGAGCGTAAAATTCGTGGATGGGTGACGCGGACGAGCTGCTGCAATTGAAAGCCACGACGGACCGTGTTGCATTCGCGCAGGCTAGATTGGTCTCCGCTTCGAGATCGCTTCCATCGGCAGCGTATTGAGGTGGGGAACAAGACTGCAACCACGCGACGCCAAGGGCCAGAAGAGAGCTGAGCAGAGGTTGGGCTTGAACCTCCCTCTGCAAAGGCTTTATGTTGGGGAGCCGGACATTGGCCCCGTCGAATTTCAATTGGAGAAGTATGGCCGGCAAATCTTCAGAGCAGGCAGGCCGACCCTACGATCACTATGTAGGCACAATGAACGCAATCTCGGAAAACAAATCCGTGGACCAGAGGGCTTTACATGGTTTGGGCCAGAGAAGCTGGCGTGAGATTTCCACAGATTTCGCCTTGTGTTGTAGTTTAAAAAGAGATACCGCGCAGCTCAGCGTCAAGTGGCCATCATCCACAGTTGTTGAAGATCTTTGACGTTGCCTTTTTTGTCTCCACTGCGGCGCCCTTACACCGCCAGCTTTCTTCTCCTCAAGCTGCGCGGCTCACTGAGACAGGAGATGTTTTTTCTAGTCCAGCGGGGATCCCTGTTGCAAACAGGTGCACCTGAGACAAGACCCAAGCGGGATGATGGTCCGTTTGATGGGAGACGGGAGTTCACTTGATGCCCTTCCAGCCCAAACGTCCAATTGACAGGTTGCAGCAACTTTTGAAACTGCCCCCTCATAGCCTGGCCACAACTCAACTCTATCTCTATCTCTATCTCTATCTCTATCTCTATCTCTCTTTCTATCTATTTGTATATACATATATATATATATATATTATATACATGTATACACACACACACTGTGCTATCTTGCCACCTACATCCCAAAAGTCATGAATTGCTCCATACGCGCCTTGGGGTTGCTTTCATCAATACATATGCTCTTTGTGCTCCGGACTACAGTAGTTTTCTGCGTTGTTCTGCGTTGAAACATTTGTAGCAAAACAACTGTGAAAAGGACTTGCCAATTCCAACGGCATGTAGACTGTTGAGAAAGAACCGTGTTCCGAAGAGTTCGGGTTCTGAGGCCAGAGCCGTTCCTCTCATTATGGTTGAAGGTAGCCAAGATGGATGTTGCGACACAGGTCCACGATGTGGAGCTCCATGCATGTCGCCTGGGTGCCAAGTTCAGTGAGCCCCGATGAATATCGCAGCCACTGTGCCTGCCTACTGAGACCCAGATAGGTTGCAAGTGCAACATAGTCCGATTTGTCCATTCTGCGCATTTTTCTCCGCCTGGATGCTCGCCAAATAGGTGAGGAATCTACGGGGGTTTTTTACATTATGCGCCGCTGGTCACCTGTCCTCAAGCGCTGGTATTTTGCGCATTGAGAGCTTAGTCCTGTGACAATGAGCATGCCTCGCACCAACGAACCTCATCTATTAAATAAATATATATATATATATATATCACGAAAGGTAGCCCCCAAGGGGATACCGGGATACCTCGAGTTTGTCTTGCGAAGCAAGTGTGGGTTCATCCGGGTTTAATAATTGATATAGTTCCATTTTGCTCCAGACATGCTACCACTAGACCACTGGCAAGGCATGCTTGCAGTCTTTGATGTCACAGCGACACAAGTCCTGGCCTATGCCCTTTGAGGCATCTAAGGCCAACCACGCCTATGTTTGAAGATAAAGAACCAGATGAAGGACGACATAAGTAAGTTCAAAGTGTTTGAGAAAAGTGGAAAACTATTGTATACTAGCAACTGGTAGACTTTTGGCTTGAGAAAGGTGGAGTGTGACTTGTTGATTCCCCCGAGCCCCGTCAGTTCACTCATGCTTTGCACACCAATATTGCTTTGGCTCCAAACATCAGATTGCAATGGCAGTTGAAATCATTTGTTCACACGGATGGATCAAATCAACAACGCTGTTCCAGAACTGAAACCTGGTTGACGACTTGGGGTGGATTGTGGATTGTGATCTTTCTCATCTATGGCGGCCTGTACAGGCATGTAGGCACACAGATTTGGTATTGCGGTATGATTATTACAATCTTTTCAGGGACTGAATCCGTGGCCATGGCAAAGGACTTGGTGGACTGGATAAGTTGCTTGGTATTTACGTTGTGGTTCGACTTGCTGGCAGCTGCTGGCAGCTGCTGGCAGCTGGCAGGAAGGAATTCACCATCCGAGGTCGGCAGGCGCAGATCTCTGGTGATGCTCGACAAGACCTTGTTCGCGTAGCCCGAAGACATGCCTGGGAAATGCAGAACTTTGCAGCGCGGCACCGAGCTTTGTGGATCCGGTCCAAGTGGAGAAACGGGAGAACAGGGGTTCCTTTGAATTTGGAAACATATTTGCTTTTTCTGTGTCGTTTTTTGCCGGCTCAAGCTTTGCAAGGTCTCGAGGAAACTTATGAAAATAAGTCTCTGTGTGGCTGGCAAAGGTCTAGTCTAGGCACCCAACCTGAAACTTACCCGAAAGCATGTGACCAAACCGGGCGCCTTATTGTTATATATACATTCTTTCCGAATCTATACAATTGCATATCCAAGTCACTGAAGCACGAAAGCCCAATAGGAAACATGTCCGAGATAGCCCAATAGGTATCCAGCCCACAGTGTCAGCCTTGAGAAGAGCCGTGAGGAGAGCCAATTGTTTGAGAGACATAGATAGACATAGCATAGAGTATATTTGGCGCTGCATATCCCGAAACACGTTGACAACTTAGTTGCATGCATTGATTTGAGCTTCATGTGTATTAGTCACATGTTTCGTGCAGCTCATGTCCAAAGCGAACTCTGCAGCTCCAGCTTCTGAAGGATCATTTGATCCATACAGCATCGAGGGCCTAGTTCATCGACACGAAAATCGACAACTACTTCTTCAGAGGTTACAGTTGGTAAGGCGTCAGATCAAGGATTTGGAGAATGAAGTCCTGGATATTGAGCGGACGGTGAACTGCTTGCCGTATCGGCCCCAGGATTCCCACTCTGTGACTTCGGATTCTCCACGAATTAATCGCTTGGCAGCTGCTGGCGCTGGTGGTCTTGCCCTGCCCTTGGCCGTGGGGATTATGCATCCGCTGGACACGGTGCGAACCACGATGCAGGCAAGACATGGTGTTTTGGGCTTTTCAGAAGCCGTGAAAGCCTTGGGGTCTCGTGGCATAGCGAGAGGTTTCGGACTCAGCTTTGCTTGGGCCTGTCCACAAGGAGCGATACGAATGGCCAGCTATGAAACATGTAAAGAGCTGCTCTCAGACAAGTTCTACATGAAATCCTTTGGTATTGGAGTCTCGGCTGTTTTGGCTGACTTTGCAAGCAGTGTGATCAAGGTGCCCCGCGAGCTAATAACACAACGCATGCAAACCGGCCAATACACTTCGAGCTGGGCAGCTTGCCAAAGTATCCTTCGACAGGATGGCTTTTCGGGCTTATTTCGTGGGTACCTCTCCACAGCTTCAAGAGATACGCCTTTCATGGTCCTTTTGTTCTTTTCGTACGAACAGTTCAAAGCTTGGAAGATTCGACTGACTTTCGGAGATTCGCTTCCCCCACTGGCACCATGGTCAGATGCTGAGACGGTGCCTTGGACCGTTCTTGTGTTTGTAGTTGTTTGACATGACAACTCACGATAATACGTGGTCATCCATCATGTTTTCTTAGACTTTCTAATGGATTTGGTGGAAGTGTGGTAAGGAAAAACCCAAGAGTCACACAGTGAGGTGCTTTGGGGTGGTGTCTCTGGTGCCTTAGCTGCTTGGTTGACCACTCCCTTCGATGTGATCAAGACACGTGTGATGACCGCAGCAGAGGCCATGACCATTGGACAAGCCTTTCGCTCGATTGGCCCGACAGGTCTTTTCGCTGGTGCCGGACCTAGGAGCGCCTGGTGGTTCTGCGTGAGCTCTGTCTTCTTCGCGACTTACGAGAGGCTGAGATCCAAGTTTCAGCAGCGTCTCGAGTGATGCCCAAAAAGCGCTGATCTGCTACACGCATAGGATCAGCTGTTTGTGCTGGTGACTCAGTAAACTCAAACAATCCAGCGATCTTGTCTGAACCTGGGGTTATCCTGCTATACTACAATGCATGCCCATTTTGTGGACCAGAATGCCTTGGTTCATTTTCTTTAACCATTGGTCATTGAAGATTCCTGATTCACAGACAAGACAAGAGGTTGAAAGGAAGTGGCCTTGAGGACGGTTGTCAAGCAGACAGCTTTTCAAGTTTCACCAAGACCGTGATCAAAGATCTTGAGTCGTTAGCAGCTAGCACCAAGTGATCCATACTGCCATGCCCTGCCTGATCCCTCCTTTGTTTTGTTCACCAGCCCTTGATTGCTGAGGAGATCATTTGTGGAGAGCCCTCGCAGAATCGAGATCTCATAGATGTTTGTAGCCCCTTCGAGGCGGATCTCGCTTTCGTTCTTTGGTTTCAATTTCTTAACAACTTTCTTTCTTCGTTTTTCCTTTTTTTGTGGCAGGGTTTCTGTTGACAGACCCTCTGCTTATCGGATGATGTTACTGTTGCAGATTGCTGTTCTGAGCCGTGCTTGGCGCATGGACTTTGGAATTCCATCGCCACGAAAGGGACCTCGGAGGCCAGGCTTCAAACATGTGATGCTTTCGATGCTTTCTGCAGAACACAGGACACTTTGCGACACAAGAAAACCAGTTGGACTTTGGGAGTGGTTTTTGGAGTGTTGTGATGCTGGTGATGTAATCGATGGTCATTAGTGCATCATTAGCACCATGAGGGGCCCAGGAGGCACTCTAAACCGTCTTCTACGAGTGGGAGTTCATGTCGATGATAGGAAAGAGGAGGCAACGGAACACGAGAAGTGGCCGGAAATTTTCCAGGTTAGTGTTCGACCAGGGGTGAAAGGGGGTGTGTGTGTCTCTCAGGACGAAGTGTGACCTGTGAGGGGAGGGTAGGAGAGGGAACAGAATGCTGTGGGGAAGGTGGAAGACAGGCAGAGCGGAGGAGGACTTGGTAGGAAAAGAGGGTCTGCAAGAAATCTTGGAGTTGCTATGGTGAAGACGCCTGTCAACCACACGCAAAGGGGCACCCCATATGGGGCGGGAGTTCATGTGGAAGACATGAGGACGTGGTGGGCAAAGACTGACTGCAAGACCTCGTTGGATTTCTTGGGGGTGCTCCTTTTTTTTATTTTTTCTGATGACGTCCCCTACAGCAACCACACGTAAAAGGGCACCCCATGTGGGGTGCGAGCTGATGCGGTCTGTTGAGGGTCTGCAGGAAATCTTGGAGTTGCTTGGGGGTGCCCGTTTTTTAATGGTGAAGACGCCACGCAAAAGGGCATCCCATATGAGGTGGGAGTTCCTGTGGAAGACATGCGTAGCGGAGGAGGACGTGGTGTGACCAAAGACTGATTGCAAGAAATCGTTGAAGAAATCGTTTGATTTCTTGGGGGTGCCCTTTTTTTCGGATGAAGACATCCCCTAACCATACGCAAAAGGGCACCCCATATGGGGTGCGAGTTGCTGCGGTCCGTTGGGTGCTCTTTGCCCGATGTTAGTCAATCACTTGATCTTGCACGCCAAGTCTTTGAGTCCATCTACAGGACACGAACAATAAACAGCGGGCACGCGCCCCTGAGGTGCCCTTGAACCGGGCCAAAAAAAAGGGCACCCCATAACAACGGTAATCTTCCCCGAAGTCAAGAAATTCGCGTGATCTCGGCAGTATTTCCTCGGTCCACTCTTAGCAGCACGCCGACTTTATGAGTCTATCTACAACAAAAGACAAACAAACAGCGCGCAAACGCCCCTCCATTACTTAGGGGCGCCCTTTTTTTTACGAAAGCCAACCGATAGGCTAGGCTTGAGCTTTTGGAGCGAACGAAGTGAGTTAAGGGGGGGGGGAGAGCGCTCCAAAGCGAGGGCCAGAAAAGCAGTCGAAATGGGGTCTGGTGATGCGACTGATGCGATGGACGGCGAGTAGTGCATCATTAGCATCATGAAGGGCTTTGGAGGCTATTTGGACAATGGGCATTGAGCGCTCGAGTGGAGACGGACCCACGTACAGAGCAGACCGCCGCCGCATGTAGGATACGAGTTCCCAGGACAACCCGTAACTCGCGAAACCCACAAAGAACCGAAAGTGACATGAGTTCAACTCCATGAATTTGTATTGAGTTTCAGCAGGGATGCCTGCGAGGTTGACTACATATCCGCATAGGGTTCCTGCCCCCTAGCAAAAACTATACTTGCACCACGTCCTCGGTCGAGTGGATGCATCTCGCGGCGTCCACACGCACCGAACGTTTTGCCGGTGCAGATAGATAGATAGATAAATAGATACACACAGACATACAGACAGACAGACAGACAGACAGACAGACAGACAGACATACATACATACATACATACACACACACACATACATACATACATACATACGTAGATAGACAGATAGATAGATACATAGATAGATAGATGGATAGATAGAGATAGAGATAGAGATAGAGATAGAGATAGAGATAGAGAGAGATAGATAGGTAGGTAGGTAGATAGATAGATAGGTAGATAAGTTCTATATACTACTGACTCATGACGTCGCCTTTTTGCTGGTAGCCCTGGCCGAATCCAGTCAGCCTGGGTCCACGGCCCAAAGATCGACGCACGCAGGTGCCAAAGTCAATGCCTCTGAGTGAGAAAGGCGCAGAGTTGATAAGAAAGAGAAGAATACGAAGGTGTTTGGATCGTTTAATAAAGGCCCCTTTAAAGGAAAAAGACTGTGTTTTGGATTGAGCCAGAACATGACTCACTCAAGTCCAATCATGTGCGTCGATAGGCGCACAAATCCTCCCTCCTTTGCTAGCCCAAGCTACTCCTGCTGGACCTCCCCTTCTGCGCCGCGGGATCAAACGTCCGTGTCCCGGCTAAGACGTGCCCGTTCTCTCTTCCAAATCAACGAAGGCCGCTTTTCGACGCTCCGCAATATGCGTTGCAAACTTCAAGCATTCCAAATGTTACAAACGCACAATCGTTTCTTTTCAAACAAGTGCCGTACTCGCGCACGCGCGCGTGCGGCGACGCTAACTATAGAGAAGGTCTTTCTGCGCGCGCCGCGCTAACGACCACCACTCGAACTCAGGCGGTATTTCCCCTTCGCTAACGCTGATGTCGCATTCCAACTTCCATCAGATGCATGCCTTCCTGCGCGTGACAAACACATGCCATTGCCTTGTGAGTGATGATGACCTACACCAACTTACAACGTATCGCGTTTCTCTTTCACTACTTCTTTCATACCCGGCTTGCTTCTCTGCCCCCTCAATCACCATGTAATGGTGATTGAGGGAGCAGAGAAGCAAGCTGCCGACCATGTATCTTGTGCCTCGACGCCCGCCAGAAAAACAGATACTCGTCTGGCGGCTGCTGACTTTCGTCCCTCCCTTCTCAGGTATTCAAAACGCACCTCGAGCAACAAGAGCAGGGGCACCCCACTCTCCCACTCCCACCTGTGAAGCAGAGCCTGTCATATTGGCCTTTTCTCAAACTCTCCACCTTTCCCCATTCCTGGCAGCGGTTCCAGTGCGCTCTCGACTTCATCTCCATTGCCCATTGCCATATTCATGTGTTCTTACGGAGGCTGGCTTTCGTCCCCTCCCTTCTCAGGTATACAGAAACTGAGTGGTGATCCGGAAGTCACTATCCAGCCACGTGATTCGTGATTCATTTCGTGATTCGTGATTCGTTATATACTCAGCCGCGTGATTCGTGATTCGTTACTCAGCCGCGTAATTCGGGATTCGCTTCTCAGCCGCGTGATTCGTGATTCGTTCTCAACTGCGTTGTTCGTGATTCGCTTCGTGATGCATGATTCCCAGGCTTGTGATTCGTGATTCGTTCCGTGACCCGTTCTTTTTGCATGGCTCGCATCTATATACTATACGCCCCTCGGTTTTCAATACATTCGTGGTATGGAAACATGATTTGTGACGCGTTTCATGTTTTGTGACGTGATTCACGTGAACAACCATCAAAGCAGGGGATGAAGAGCGGAAGAGAAGACCCACCTTCAGTCTTAACAAATGCAAAAAACAAACGCAGGGATGCGACGGATCCTCCCCAAATGCGATGCCTCAAGTGTACCTGTTTGATGATCGGTATACTTTTTGTTGATGTCTAGGTTCTTCATCTAAAAGGGATGCATGTCCTGATGACATCGATGCGAGCTTAGATGTAGTTCCATCAGACACGCTAGAGCCTGCTTGTGTGGCTGGGTATGCTTCGTTTCCATGACTCCTTCCTCCTGTAAATTTTACGCATGCATTGTTTCCATGGTGATTCGGTATTCGTGATTCGCAACCCTGTCTTGGAGCTTCTCCGGATCACGCCTCCAGAAACTAGACTCACCAAACCAGAGTAAAGCCTTTCCGCTTTCAAAGGGCCTTGACGCTACGAAGTTTGGAGTGGCAGCCGGCTTCGCACTTTTCCAGGCAACGGCCAGCAGAAAGGGATCATTTGGAGGACTGAAGCTGCCGTTCGGAAGCTGCATCTCATTGAAGCCGCTTTTAGCAGACAAGCGTGTTTTTTTAAATCAATCAAGCCACCAAGTGGTCTTGTTATGGTCAGTTTTGGCCGAAAGACATGACTGTGCTTTGAATTCTTTCAGCTTGGACAGGAGCGACAACACTACATAGGTGGCCACAGCCACATGTATTTGTCCCTGGCTTGTACATCTATCAGAGGGAACAGGATCTTTAAGTGAATCTACAAGCATCATATTGTTGGCGGCTGTCCAGATGTGACATGATGCTGTTGTCAGTGTTAGGCTGGATGACTATGTAGCTGCTGATGAGGAGTGCCAGGTACAGTGTGAACATATGTGAATGCGTTTGACCCGTAGATCCAAGTTAGATCCTGTTTTGAAGCAACGCACAAGACGCACAGCATCTCAGTGCTTTCCAGTTTCATTTAGAAGCAGTTTCAAGATGCCTTTCCGCCAGAACCGCCCAAGCGATGTGAAGGTGGTGCCACGAGTAAGGGAAGTGTCAGCCTTGTTGACAAGATGTCATGACGCGCCTATGAGATTGACATAGATTGACACTGGGAGGGTCAATGGCAGGGTGCAAGAAGAGTGCAATGGATCTTGAAGAAGCAAGTGAGCTCGACTGTGAAAAGCAGCTTCAGCATCTTCAGTAATGATTGAGACTTCGACGTCAAAGTGAAACAGATACGATGTCTCGACTTTGTCTACTTTACACTTTACACAGGAGGCAAAGCAGCTTTTGACGGGGCAAAGTTTTGTTTATTTTTTCCGCCAGCTTTGCCTCATGTTGTGCCGCCATGCCGAAGCTCTCGGCCGCTATGAGCCAGGCAGGGTTACCGCACCACCTGTGTGGATCGAGGCGGCGGAAGAATTCGAGACCGTTCGGCTTTCACGTTTGAGGCCAACTCCTGGGAAGGTGGATGGAACTCTGACGCAGTTTTTGTTTCGATTTGCTACAAAGACATTGAGCAGATTTATCGCTTCCATGATGCCTTGTGATTGAGCTTCCAAGTTTTGTAACGTCCAGGTTTTTTAGCGCTGCTAAGGCAAGATCCGAAGCAAATGGCCGACCCTGTGACTCCTGCCTCACAGTCCTTCGGCCACACGGGCAATTCCAAGGACTCGAAGAGGGGAGAGCAGAGCGGAGATCGATGTAGAGAGCGGAAGGGTTGTGAAGTCTTGGGCAGGACCTGAGGAACACTGCAATGGGAGGAATCATGGGCTTGCATAAGAGCAATCCAGATGAAGGCTTTATGAGAGCTGCTTTGGCAGCAAGTGTGACTTGGCCTTTCGGAAAGCTTGCAATGATGCAACAACAGCTATCAAGGTGCGTTCTTTTCTGACTGGGTTTGACCGGTTTGTTCCAGGAAACGCCAAAATATTTTCCAAAGACCACCTCACATCGCATTGGTGGAACGCATCCGCGTGGGCTACTTGGCCGAAGCTGATGGCTCAGAGGCAATCCAGATAGTCTGTTTGCCAGGAGGGTTGGGAGTCAGGTACTTGCCAATGAACGCCCAGCAAGCAGTGGCCTTCTCCAGGAGAAGTGGGGGAGGGAACAGAGATGAGGTTTTTGCAGATAACTTCCAGTTTCAAATGCTCATTTTGATTCAGTTCACTTGAAGCAATCTGGCAATATGCTGCAGCAACTTTGGGCACGTCATGGGCTTGTGTTTTGTTTGCTGATTTGTTTGATCTCACTTGCTTTCTTGTGTCCTTGCCTGTTTGTGCAGGAGTAACAAGGAGCCGTTGCGCCTGCTATTTTTGCTGAACAGTTAGACTTTGAAATTGTAAACAAAAAACATACAATTCTTTGCAGGAGCCGTGCATTACAACGTACTTGGAGGCAAGATACCAGACGCCACTTGGCCTGAATTTGCAGAGATCACAACTTGCAGGGAATCATATTCAATCTTGAGCCATGGGTGTGGACAGACTTTTCTCACAAAACACACGAATCAACGAGATGTGATGATTGACTGTGATCCTTTCGGTGATACTAAACCGACGGTGATCCTTCGTCGCCAACTCCGACCAAATGGGCAACCTGAAGTGGTTCATGCTCCGTTTGTGTTACGGAACGACTCCGAGGTTGAAACGCTTGATGGCGGAGACGCAGTTCCGTGCAGGCAATGATCCTTACAGGTGCTTAAAGTGTGGGGGGGCAGAAGAGTTGGTGACAAACATGGAGCTGAAGAAAGTCTTTTGGCAATCTAGATCAAATACAAGGAAAGAAGAAAGGAGAGATGAAGGGTCCAAAAGGCAAGCTTAAGCTTCCCTAAAAATCTAGGAACCAAATCACTAGTGTGTCAGCTATCCTGCGTTCATACTAGTAGCTTAAATAAGGTAGTAGCTGCTACCTCTCGCTAATGGCTGCCTGGCCTGGACCTCTTTGGCCTACCCCCCCCCAGGAAAAAGGGCCACGAAATCACCGTTTACACAGGCCTAGTTGTCGACCGTTCAAAGGAACACGGGTTCAGGAACTGTCTCCGGCTTCCTTTCCAGACTTATGGCGGATGGCTGCCGTAGGTAGACGACCCCGTTTGAAAGTTTCAATGATATGACACGCGGACAGAGTCAGAGAGAAAAGAGAGAAAATGACTTCCATGTCTTTTTCTTCATATCAGATGACTTGAACATGTCTTTCAAGAAGAGCCTTTCTTTGGCTTGGAAGGTTTATGGAATTGGTGCGGGCTGAAGAGCTTTCAAACTTCCTGAACCGTGCAGACAACTCCTCTATCTCCCGTGAAGAGATCTCGAAGAGCCTCGGAGTAACGGTTCTAGAAGAGAGACTTTCCAAGCTGAAACAACGAGTTTTTCACCAATTGTTGTGCAAGGCTTGGTGAGGCTTTAGCAGCTACTTTGAATGCAGGCGGGGGTTCAAAGCATCCACTTCTCTCCATGTGTCCATGTGTCAGGCTGGTCCACTTTTCAGTTTTGATACGGACAGTAACACTTCTTCGGTTTGGGTTAACGAACCTGGGACACACCACCAATGCAAAGCGTTTCCAGATTGATTGTGACATTTAGCCATCTGGAGGTACAACAACAATGCATGCATGCACCGTTCGTAGCGTTCTTTCACAGACAATTCGAGCAACAGCTGTCCAAAAGACCTTGTACGAAACCCTTGATTGATGTAACAAGCAACAGAAACTCAAGGTAAAAGCGTCACACGAGTGTCTCGACAACCAGAACCCACACCAAAGTGCTTCAAATGCTTTTCTGAGACGGAAGTGATTTAGGGCCCCCCCCTAGTGAGATACACTCATGGGAGCTTCACAGAGTGTGGCATGACAGGGCGTGGTGCGCGTACAGACTATGCGGCGCCTCTCAAGCACTCCGAGGAGAGTGTGCCCATGGATCTATCTGACTCAATAGGAATGACACAACAGGCCTGGAGACCTGGAGTACTCTGGACTATTCACTTGTTGTACCCCCAAAGAAACCATCTTTCTGTTTGGCATAAGCCAATCAACCTGCAAGTGAAACATCCGATCCGCAGGCTATGAGGGATGTTGTTGCTCCTTGGCCAGGATCTATTTTTGTTTTGAGTTGGGCACGGCAGAGTCTTCTCTCTTGTTCATGGGTGGCTCTTGTCCCTGTGCAACTCCATGATAGCTCTATCGTTTTGCATCTTTCAAGCAGCAAAAAGCATGAAAAACAGTCATTTACGGAACTCTGCCTTCACACGAAGAATTGTTACAGGCGTATGCATTCAGATGCCGTGCAACAACATTCCTGATGGTGTGAGTCTGATGCTTTTTAGCCAGAACATGTTTGCGTTAATGTGCGCGGGCCAAGCGAGCAGGTCTTTGATGCTAAATCCCGAATGGTACCTTGAATTCAAACTCTGGGCTAGCCATCTTGCTTGGACTTGGCCACTGAGAAAGAGCCGCCTGAGTGCAAAGTTCACGCAGTCGGAGTTTGAGGCGCTCTCACAGAAAACAAAGGTGATATCGTTTATATAGTTCTTGTTTTGCAGGTCAAAAGTCTTCAAACATGATTTTATATTTATATATGCCTTTGATGTCTGTTGGCACCTTCCTCCGTCAGAGACACGTCGTTGGCATGTTTTCTGAGTAGCTTGTTGCACCAAGGCGTGGCCAGACAACAACCGTTACCACCGCGACGAGGACAAGAGTGACAAGAGGCCGCCGAAAGTGTATCAAAGAAAGGATGGCACATGTGGCTGACGCAAGGGCTAGTGATGGCTAGTGACTAGTAGTGACTAGTTTAGTAGTGAATAGTGGGGTCCGGATTCTTTGGGACAGACTTTCACTTGTGCTCGGCTTGGCACTTTTGGCACTGATGCGAAGGTCAGTGGTGGTGCACAGTGCCTGGAACAATAAGGCGGGACTTGTCTACACGGATGGTCGAAGAAGCTTTCATCCAAGCTGGCGAGAAAGACTATGGCTTTAATTAGAAGAGCACAGAAGCAAACCTTTAGATGCACAAAAGCTGCGAAAGTTCCAGGCTCCTGGCCGGTGTCCAGCCTGTGGGACCACCTTCCTGCCGCCCAATTGCACCAGTCGCCCTTGTTGAACAAGTCTAGAGTCTTTTTAAACCTTGCTGCTATGTTCGCCTCAGGTCTACTCTTTACCACCTGCAAAAGAACGCATGGTTCAGAACAAAAACCACAGATACTGTGCCTACTGGTTCAGCGGGGCTTGAGAACCCGAGGAGAACTATTCTTTAAGGGACAAGAAACATGTGTAGAATTGTGTGTTCGTAACTAGGCTCGCTCATCAAAATGTCACTACCCGTCACAAAACAGTGCTTTGGCTCTGGACGCGGCGTTTCTTCAACCTTAAGTTTCCCCAAAAATCTAGGACCCAACTCAGTAGCGCGAGCTATCCTGCGTCCTAGGGAGTAGCTACTTGCAGGTAGTAGCTACCTCCCCCGCCCCCTTCATTAAGTATTAAAAAAACAAAAAACAAAACAAAACTTTCAAACACATTTTTTTTCCAGACTTTTCCATTTCGTTTCGCCGCACCGAGGCCCGAGGATCGTTTTTGCCGCACCTGTGGTCGCCGTCGTGTCTCTTGGAGCGATGAAGGCGATGGGGACGGGAACGGCTGTCCGGGTGACCGCCGGAACCGCATGAAGCCACCTGGCCAAGCCTCCTTTGCAAGGTTCACTTTCCTTCAAGATGTGGCTAGTGTTGCACAATGTTGTATGATGGGATACACGCATCATCATACAATGAATCAACATCCGTTATCATACAATGAATGTATCCGTGTATATAGAACGCAGTGTAAACAGCATCAGAGGATGTTGACGGGTTTTTGCCGCTTTCTTTATGGCTTTGTGCCCACTCATAGAAAGGCCCTGCACCGGCAAATGGAGATGAGAAGACGGCCCTGGAGGCACTATTTTTCGTCGCCGTGCCGCTGTCCACAGTTCAAACCATTTGGACCTTATTGTCACTTTCTTGAAGATAGTCGTCCATTCTTTATACTGAGGCAGCCATCGATTTTCCCTTTCACTTATGGGTTTGTTGGTGCTTGACCATGGAAGGGACGACATACACTGTGCATACTGTGAACCTCCCTGCAATGGGACAGGAGCTAAGAGAGGATCAGGACGGCTTGGGCTAGGGCCAATCATCGAAATTGTCATCAAAAGTGCAACTTCGGCACATCATCCACTTTGTGATCACAATAGATGAAGCACTGAAGCATCAACCAACGTCACAACAGCATCTAATCAGTACGTCAGACACCATTCTCAGGTTGGAGGCTGAACCATCGGGAGTGGTGCTTGGAAAGTTTCAGGTCGGGGAACACTGTGCCTGGAGGAGACATTGGACCATCCTCAGCGTGAAGCAAGAGCAGCCTCGGTGCCAACGGGCTTGAGTTGCCGAATCACAGAAGAAGCGCAAAAATGGGGTTTGTGTGGAGTCTTGAAATGCGCAGAGAAGGTCTTAACAAGCATGTGCAGCCGCACAATTTGAAAATCCTATCATGTTCAAAGTTCTCTTGGTATCAGGTATCAAATCGGTGACCAGGAGAGTCAACTGCAATGATCAGATGGACCTCGTTCTGCCAGATGAGCCTGGATGACGCCTTGGCCGTAGCTGCGGGCACCAGTGCTATCTTTGTGGCAGGACGAGGCGCCGGAATGATGCAGTTCGTGGCCAAATGGTGAGCCAAAAGCATTTGGGGAGCTCTTTTTCCAGATTTGGAGTAAGAGAGTTACAGGTGGCCTGAAGCGCTTCGAGCTGCCTGACCTGTCGCTGGACTGCAGCTAGAAGCTAGAGGTGGCCAAGCGCCACAGGAGTGACTGGTGATAAGTGCGAAGGGTGATGTGAAAAGATATCCACAAGGGGCATTGCTTTTCCACATGCCACATTTCCACGTCTTGCACTCTCCTTTCAACAGATCCTCTGCCAGGGTTGCATCTGCTTCTGTTGGTCTTCTTTTGCTCATTCGACAAACTGCAAACATTGATTGCAAACGAGTTGGAATCGGGACCGACAAGGAGGAAGTATATAAGACTTTTGTTGCCAAAATGGCTTACTTGACTTCTCAGGCTAATACTAGCTCCCTGCCCATTTAAAGGGAGCCCAAAAGCATCTTACAAGTCGGCCATGTTGTCTTGGTGCAAGAATGCATCCTAACCACGATGGTCACGGTGGTGGCGGTCTGGACACTGGGACTCTTTCGGACACGATTTCTTGGATCTTGGCCTGGCGTGTCTGAGGCAGCTTACAGCTGCAGCGCCTTACGCCGGGAGCGCTGATCCACCAGGTTATGCGGATCTGGCGGCAGGCGAGCAGTCTTTGGGCATGACTGACGACCTCGACAACTCATGCTACCTATCCCATGTTGACACTCTCAATGAGATGAAAAAGAGGAAGCCACCATGAAGCTTTGTTCGATTCAGATGTTAATGTAGATCAGATCAATCAGCGTATTAGTTTCGATTACTTGATGCATCCTTCCCCTTGGTAGAGGATGCCAGCCCAGGTCCAGATTTCGTGGTTTGTGTTGATTTGGATGGGTGCCTCTTCCGCTATGACTCCCGAACGTCGTGGCCTTGGCTTTACACGCAGGTGGCGGGACCTGGGTGATGTGAGTACCATTTGCCTATGTGGGTGTGTATTCAAATAGGGGGACCCTCAACCGCAGACTGGTCTACCCGAACCTTCCAAAGGGTCGTTGCATGAAGGTCTCCCTATTTGAATAAAGAACGCAAAACAGAAAAAAACACTTATATAATGAAGATGAACCTACTAGCGTTGGCCTCCAACCTACACACCCATGTGCCATTTCCGTGAGGTGTGAGCTGCAGGCGAAGCGGGCATACCAACCGTCCGTCGTTGAGCATTCGCAGGCGCGTTCACCTTCTTGGATGTGGCGAAGATGTTTCCATGGCATCTAGTATCTTCGAATTCCATGACCCAGAGTCTCTGCAACCGGAAGGTTTATAGATCCATCGCAGAAAACATATATTCCCAATTGCTCTTTTTTTCATAATGTAAGGGAGAGCTTTTTGCGTTGCCGCTTGGGAACGTGTGCCAGCGCATTGTGGCGAGCCAGCTGGAAAGACTCAGCAAACCCATTGTGGGTTTGGAGGGTGGGTACTGCTGGCTCGCTTGCACTGCTTCGGCTAGTGAGATTGCCTATGCCTGTTTTGTGGCTGCATGGGTTTGAAGCCGAGATGAAGTTGGCTGCCAGTGTCTTTACATAGAAAGCAACTTGAAGATGGAATGGAACAAGAAAAGATGTGACAAACCCGAACACAGCAAGATGCCAGCTTTGGGGGCACTTCCCGCGTGGCGGCCAATTCCAAATCTGTTTACCTTGGAGGCCGGAACGGGGTAGTAGCTGAGCGATACAAAGAGATGCAAAGCCCGGTGCCGAAGCCTGTGCTCAGGGCGTGATGGTGTAGTTACTTCATACTCTTCAGGCACGTGTGCTGCAGCAGTGCTGCTATTGTGTTGTAAATACTGAAGAGATCTTGAGAGTGTCACACTTGACGTAACTCTGGACAGATTTGCCAGGCTCCTTGAGCCTCACTGGGAGGTGTCGGTTGCAAGAGGGCCCTGCCTCTGCGGCGATTGGTATTCGAGCGGTGTTGGGACACCCGGGCTGAGCTGATACCGAATCAAGAACCAAACACACCAGAGCTGCAGATGTTCGAGCGCTTAGGGCTTAGGAGATCTAGTCATCTAGTCTATAAATGCGCAAACACATAGCTGTGCAAAGGTTCCCCAACGTATGCTGGCTGAAGCATGATCCTGCAACTATATACGTTCACCGTGCATGTGATGATTGACAGGAGTCTTTGAGCGACCCTCTAGCAATTGCGCTCCTTCCTGTTGCTCGAAGGTTCCTCTCTCAGTACCAGCGGCTGTACTGTGCAGTGCTCTCCTCTGTGTATGTCCTGGCTACGCCGGGCATGTACGAGGTCTTCGTCAGCCTGGGTTCACTAGTTCACATGGTGAGATTCCACAAAGGACTTAGATGACTGGATACTGGACATGGACATTCCACAAATGTCCACACTGTTACATAGGTGAATCGGATGAGGATGGTGTCCACTTTTTGGAGTGTCGATATATCATCCGATTCCCGAGCGTCCCAATGCACCTGACCCCTGCAGCTGGCACGTTTGCGCGGTGGACCTCGTGTGCCTGTCTTTGGCAGTGTAGGCTGGGCAGAGAGGAATGATCAAAGCAAATATTCCATGGAAATCCGTGGCTTCATGGGCTTCATATGGCTTCAGGTTCTATTGTTTTGCTTGTCCAGGCTATCCGCTTTTGGGTGAAATCTGCGATCCTGAAACCAATTTGTAGAATTTTTGTTCTTACAAGAGCCTCTGGGCAAGACTCCCAGGTGCTGTCGTGGAGAGTCCAGCTGGGTGCGCTTTGCTGGTTTGTGGTCCGCTGGGCTAGACAGTCTTGAAGCCTCTTCACGAAGGCCTAAGGCTTCGCAAGGATCCTGTCCAAAGCAGCACCACACAGCGAAGCGAAACGAAGTGAATGAAAGTGATTGACATGAAGATGGAGAAGAAGTGAAACAAACAGACAGTGAAGAGATGTGAAGAAAACTTAATGTATACAGTATATACACATACTGTATATAATATACACGTAAAGTATAATCTTGTTCATATCTCAGTTTTGGATATATAGGTACTTTTTGTATGGAAGGTTCAATTCACATGAGAGCAGAGGTTTTCGATGAGAATGTTTCTCCCTTGAGATCTCTTTGGCACCAGGGACTTGGTCTTTGTGGCAGACGTGGGTGGCCCGTGTGGTTCCTAGAGCATCGTGGCCAACTTCTTGTCAAGAGAAGGAATTTATCAGTTTGGAGTAGTTGAAGTTGTCGTGATGGTATGTGAATGTAGCAAGCTAAGACCAAATCTGTGAAATAGAAAGAAAGAAAAGGAAGGTCTAAAGAAAGAAAGACCATAAAAAGGGAGAAGCGCAAAAAATACAGATTTTGTTTGTTTCAATTTTGCCGCTCCGTCGGCCGGGCCGGAGCTCCGTCGTCATGGTCATCTGAGGTCGATCCACTTGTGGAGCACCAAGTCGTGGCAGTGGATGGCCCGAGTGGAACTTCCCCAAGGCTGAGGGCGGCCAAGGGCGGCCAAGGGCGGCCAAGGGCGGCCAAGGGCGGCCAAGGGCGGCCAAGGGTCCAGCCACGTGGAGCTTTCTGAAACGAAACTTAACCAACACCTCCGACAGCCCTGATGAATGTGCCTGAGGACCTTCCAACCAGCTTGCAAGGACACAACTCGCCGCCCGAATGGTGCCTTTTTGGCTCCAGCCTTAGGCAGAGTTTACAGACCTCTTGCCGCCAGAGCCTCAGGGAATGACCTGGACAAGGACAACACGCTTCGACACGCTCGACAGCCAGCTCGCCTTCGTTTGAACGTTTCAACTCGACAACTAAAGTTGCGAGTCAACTAAAGTTGAGGCTTTTTTGAGCACGAAGGGTGTTCCCACCTGTTCCAGTGTGAGACCCAAGTTTTGAAGCCGGAACTGAGGCCTGGGGCAGAGGGGCCCTTCGCCCTTGGCGACCAATGGCCCCTGGAAATTCGACAAGGAAATTATCATTCCAAGTTTGCCACCAACAATGGAAGGTGTTCACACATGGCAAAGTGCTTCCAACAAATGAATTCAGTCATTTTCACAAACCGACACACACGCACAGAGTCAAGGGTGCATCGATCCATATTCACTCATCGCTGCCACAAAAAACTCCACAAAATTGGTGTTGACAAGTTCTTCACCAGCAAAATAGTTGTGAGCCATGAAGTTTGCCAAAACGTCGGGGACTTACGTTCTAGAAACAGACAATCTCTGCATAACAGGAGTCTGAACCTTTTCATAGAAGCCATTTTTTTGCATAGGCACTGAATACGCATCCGCAAGTTGAATAAATAGCTCTCAATGCAACTAAGACTGTGGACTTATGTGCAAATTTTCGTGGAATTGCCAGCTTTGGTAAAGAGCTGATCTTGGATTGGCTTCAGCGGTCAGGTTGCAGGAAGAGCTTCTGCAAGAATGGCAAGAGTGCTTCCAGCGGAGTGGACATTTGCCTTTCTCTTTTGAGTTTGATGTCTGTAGCAAACAGGCAAAGAGGTTACATTTGAACGACAAAGATAATTCCTACAGACTCCATGCCAGCGATGCCAGGCACTACATCAACTACAAGAGTCTCAAGAAGGCCACTGCGAATACACATTCAGTTACTCGCAGACAACAAGACATTAATCCTGTCACTTGGATTCATTTGACAGGTGCTGAAGCTGGACCAAGTGGAGGTCTCATGCTTATAGCAGACTGATGAGACCAGGGCAGACTGATGGGACGGTTGTGAGCCGCGGGGGTTTGGTGGGATTGATAAAGCCATTTGTTAGAGCGTTGGCCTTGCTTGTTTTTGTTTACACTTTTTAGCCTTTTGCATCCATTTTGAGTCCATTTTGTCATGTGGTTGGCCCTCCCCTCCGGGACGAGGCAGTTCCGGCGTTTTGCAACCTCCTTGATTCCGAGATTTGCAAGGTTGGGCGTTTTGATCAGCGGAAACTTTTCGGAGGCTATGTTCAGTGATTTTGTTCAGAGATCTCATCTTCTCTGTGCAATCATTTCACTAGGTGCACCGTTGGTGCACTGGTGTCGCAAGTTGTCCATACGCTTCTCTGTCGCGTAGGTCCAGCGTTTCCTCTTACAGCAGCAAGAGGGTCTATGGAAGGCCATCGGCCGCCATCGGCCTCAAGGGGAGTCCGTCAGTCGGTCTGCGTCAAACACAAATGCATTCTGCCGGCGTACCTGCCTGGCCAAGGTGCTTAAAGGCTTTAAGGAAGGATTCTTCTATTTGCTTGGGACCTGGGATGAGTGCCCAATCTTTGTGAGAGTATCCCCCTTCAATCTAGTGTGCAACAGGCGTTTGACACTGGACAGCATGCGTACATCGAATTTAGCTCCTGTGTGATTGCAGCATAGCTGATGTTTACAAAGATGAAATTCGATGCGTACCTGCACTACCCCGCGCTTGTGCACTACACACAAAAAACGAGACACATGCCCCCACCGTGGGAAACTTTTATATTTTGGCGACGATCCAACTTGATCCAACCTGATCTTTCAAGTGGACGCAGCACCTTCCAATCAGATGCAAGCAGCCTGGATTCTCAAGCAGCGTCAAAGCATTCGTTGGTTGTAAAAACAAAACACACAATTTTGAATCAGATGCTTCGACGTCTACGTTTGCGTGTAAAAGCTTCGACGGGGTAATCGTCTAAAGCTTTGCTGACCAACAGATTCAACTGAGCCAGGCCCTCGCGGCAATCAATGTGGAAGTTCCTGGGAAGTTGCTACCTTGGGTGCAGTGACAGTGTTTGTAAAGCAATTGCCATTATTTTATATGAAGCATTCTCCAAATGAAATAAGGCAGATGAAGCAGAACCATTGAAAAAAGGCAAATAGGTTTCATATGGTTTCACAGAGGCGCACTTGCACTTATTTGGTTGGGGTGCTGCACATGAAACATTCTGCACTCCACGCACCGAGGAACAGCTCGGGGACCCTTCGCAATGTCAACGCTTCCTGCGAGTCCGTGGTCTCTACAATTCAGCAGCTCCAAAGTTACGTTGTCGGTGGTCTCAAGTGCGACGGTCTTCCTTTCTCTTCAACCGAATTGACTTTTCTCTATTTCTTTCGATTCTTTTTGTGAAGGAAAGGACATGCATTCCCTTTAAGAAGCCTACTATTTACGTTCTTTGTAGTAAGGGTAGTGACACGGTAGCGTTGAGGAAGCGACGGGTTCTCTTGAGTGCTGAGGCGCTGAATCACACAGCCGTCCAGAAGATCATCAAGAAGTTTGACAAGCGTTTCCACGCTCCTTGCTTGATCTTGCAATGGAGAACGTTGACCTGCCAATGGATACCATACTTGTGCAGTGTGAGATTTAATTGTGTTGCGAATTGACTGCAGGAGAACTGGTGCTGAAGACTGTGCAAACTTACACAATTCACACAACTCTGCGAGGTTGAATTCTCGAATTTCTCTAACAGATCTAGAAACCATGTCAACCGTGTGAAGAATTCGATAAATCTACGCCCTTGGTAGCTCCTTGCTACTACGTGCTACTTAACAGCTGAGACAAATACCTCCCCGCCCCTAGTAGGACCTCCTATGCCCTTAGTGGTCCCCTCCATAAAGAACAAGCAAGAAACACTAAGAGAAGAACATGAAGTGGTGCAACAGTTGGTATCTTTGGCTATCCATTCAAGGTTCATTTTTCCGAGATGGTCCCTGCGCCAGTGAAGTCGTCAGCTCCTCGAGACGAAGCTGGATGTTGAAAGAAACGCCTCTAGATCTGGAGAAAATAGGAGACCTTGGAGACTTCACTAATTTTTTTGCCTTTCCTCGGTGGAGGACATGAAGTGGGTCAGAATTTTCCAATGGCTTAGATTCACGATTGAAATGGACACCAAACTGGACGTGGCTACCCAGTTTTAGTATCGAGAACGCATTGAGAGAAGGATGTTCGCGGACTCCTAACAGAACACCTCTGCTGTTTGTCTAACCAAGCCTCAAAAGCTTGCCCCTTTGAGGTCTAAGCTAAAACCTGAACCAGTCCGAGCTAAGCTTGCCAAGGCATGTGGTCATCAATGCCAACAGTATAGGTACCTGGCTGCTTGCACCTGCGCAGCAGTGCTTGAGGCGGTTTGTTTTTCATTCATGAGCAGGGGTCACACAGGAGGAGGCTTCATGCAAACAGAGACAGCTGCGAAGCTGTTGTTGTGTGTGCAAGATTGAATTGTTGCAAGGCTGGTGCGAACCTTTGCAGTGGGGAAGCTGAGTTTGTGTTGCTAGTGTCTCATCCGCCCTCATTTAATCCTTGCCGTTGCCTACATTCCATCAGTTGAAGACTTGCATTGCCATGAGCTTGACTAATCCTAGTTGGAGCACCACTTCAGGGCAATACGGCTCCGCTTGAACGACCCTTACGCCAGTTCAACTTCTGGATGCAGGAGCACTGGGATCATCTGGGATGTTAGGATGGGAAGGATCAACATTTGGTGGACAAATAATATGGATGGAGCCGATGTGAAAGCTGCTTCGTTTTCGCGACCAATAGCTCTAGATTTCATTCATTTTCTTGCTTCCTGCTTTAAGTCGATTGGTTTCAGAGGGGACGGTTCGACATGCTTCATGAGAACTGGCCTTAGGAGCTGCGAGCAGGCGCCATGGTCGCCAAGCCGGCACCCCAAGGATGATTGAGGTCAGAGCCAAAAAAGGGTGTACGATGGTGTAGCCGGCACCCCAAAAGTATGTGCATCATGGTGCACATTGTATGCGCATCAAGGGTGAAGACATCAATCTCTTTGATGTTGGCACTTGGGACCTCGAAGTCCGAAGCCAATATCCTGATTCAGCAGCCCAGGTCACAGACAGCAGGAGAAATGTGGAAAGCGACCAATCTCCGCTTGCAGCTGACATGTGGCAAGGTGCTGCTGACACATTTGAATGGGGAGTCGTTAGTAGGTGGACTGGTCAGCTTCTTTCATTGAACCAGCTACGACCATGCTAATAGTCTGAAATCATTGATAGCTTTCTTTCAGTGCTGACTGCTATTCTTTCGTTGCCGCCAGGATATAGAATGCCGCATCAGGACGGAATCATTGAAGATGTGAGACAAAGGTCACAAGCAGAATTCGCTTGACAGGTCTGGTGGGTCTGAATTCCAACACTTCGGACCTTTCCCTTTTCACACGAAGCAGATTGAAGCAGGAACACATTCATTGATGTGACGCAGAGGGATCAACATCCACGTCAGCGTACCACCCTGAGTTTGGCCGGTCATTGGACAGTATTTGGACACTGCCGGACTCTGAAAGGCTGCTTTGGTGACAGATCTAGCAAGATATTGATGGCAACAAATCGACACGGACTGACGACATCAATGCGCTTCTACCGGACCTTTGTTTTGTGCCAAGGATCTCGTTCCCTTCCAGCACGGTTGCCTCATGAGGCTGGATTGTGGCCGATTTAGACCTCTTGTAAACTTAGAGTCTTCCTCATTCTTTCTTTGCGTTCTCTTCTCTTCTCTTCTCTTGTCTTATCTTATCTCCTCTTCGCTTTGCTTCGCTTCCCTTCCTCTCCCCTTCCCCTTCCCCTCCTCCCCTCCTCCCCTCCTCCCCTCCTCCCTCCCTCCCTCCCTCCATGCTTGCTTGCTTGCTTGCTTCCTTCCTTCCTTCCTTCCTTCCATTACCCTTCCTTCCTTTTTTCTGTTTCTTTATCGAAAAGAATACAGCACGCTACGCACGACAGGCGTTCAAGCCTGGGCAGCGGCATTGCATGGCTCTGGCTGTGGAGCCCGCCCAGCACCGCGCGCCCCATGCTGTTCGGGCGCCTCAGAGGGCTTTGAACAAAACCATGGTTGGCTTGACAAGTGTGTGCCAGTAACCAAGACAAGAGTCGAGAATGGAGAAGCGAGGGTCGTAGTAGTAGTAGTAGTAGTAGTAGTAGTAGTAGTAGTAGTCGTGGTGGTGGTGGTGGTGGTGTAGTGGTGTAGTCTATAGCAATATTAGGGGCAGTAAAAACCAAGAAACCACATGTCGGTGAACTACTCAATAGTTAGATATAGATATAGTTAGTAACGAGCTTTTACCTCTATCCTCTTCTAGCGCCCTACTCCCGGGCTTCAAGCAAACGGTCAAACGAAGACCTTTTTCGACCTTTTTGAATTTACCTTTGCGCTTCAACTCGCAGGTTCCTGAGATCGACGACTCGCAGTCCCGCGACACCTCGTTCGACACCTCGCCGGCCGGGGTTCTGGGAGCGAAGCGGTAAAGGAATTAGCTTCTTGTTACTACTAGTAAGGCACTTGTTACTACTAGTAAGGCACTTGTTCCTAGTCTTTCCATGCAGATCTGATCCATGAAATTTGATGTAGAAGTTGGATGTCAGTTTCATGTTAGAGCATGGATCTCATCCTCTCTTTGTTGCAATGCGTAGAGAGGCGAACGGAGGTTTGCCATGTCCGTTTCGCAACAAGGGCTCGATCCTGATTTATGGAACTATCCATCACTGGCCCGTGGTCCGCCGTCGCAGGTTGATAGCCCATCATGGCCGGCGCTATGGGAGACCAAGCAAGGCGACAAGGGTAGATGAAAATGATGGAGACATGAGGGACGCCACGCAAGAATACAAAACGATTGACTTGGCAGAGGTTCTGGAGGAGACGCGAGGTATTTACTCCGTGACTGACTCTATTGACCCTCTTCCTACTTCTATTTTAAGAGCTCCTTGTGAGGAGTGAACAACCAAGCACTATGAGTCAATTGTGCTTAAAGCAGCTAACGCTTGAACGTCGTTCCTGTGGGGAGCTTTGTTCCTTTGTCGTGAGAAGAGCTGCAAAGGTGGAGACGCCGCTGAGCCAGCAAAGGCTGCCGATGAGGCTGGGCAGACAAAAGTGGCACCAGGCCGCTGAGACCCGTTGCAGGTTCATGAACCTTGGCCTGCACAGCTCAGAGAGGCACGCGAGCTATTGGAAGGGATCGAACACGAAGATGGTCATAGGAAAGGAATTTCAGAAGGCCGCTGGAGTCAACCATTCAGATAGTTTCCGTATGAAATGAATAACTTTTGGCCACGTCACGTCAAGCATTTTGAGATTTTTTGGTGGATTTGAAAGCATGTGGATTTGAGAATGCTCAGCAGAAGCTGCTCTTTCTTCTCCTTCGATGTTTCAGGGCGACACCTGGGATACGAAAGTGAGCTACAGTACTCCTGCCTGGTTGATGCAATAGCTACAGCAGCTACAGCCACTCGCTGTCTGTTTCTTGCTGAAGCTTTGCCATCCGTTGCAGCTTTGTCTGAAAGCGTCGAAAGCGTTTGTTGACAGATGTTTGGCTTAAGTCCGTTTCTTCGAGGGACCGTGGCGACAGGGACAGCGTGTCCTCCAAGTGCCATCGACCGCCGCTCGGGGATTGACTTCCAAGAGCGATGGCCACACTGTGGTCGAGTGACGGTGGCCGCGGCATCGGCAGCTCTGGCTGAGAAAAGCTCAAGATGTGCGAAAGCACTGAGAAAGGGCGTCCTGTCTGGTGGTGTCTGGGAAGGCAACTGGAAAGATGTACTCCAGGCTGGGTTGCCAGTGAAGCTTGTGCGGGAAGGGGAATAGAAACACACTCAGATACTTGCTGACAAAGCTTTGATCACAAGGTTTTCAGAGTTTGCAAGGAGGCAGAGAAAGAAGCTTTTGCCGCCAAACCCTCCGCCGCCATTGCCTTCATTGGTGCTGATTTGGTGGCTGAGGCTGGAGCCTGTAGGTTCGCGAAGTCTCGTGCCATCAATGCATCCAATTGCGCTTCATCGAGACCTTTCCCTGCGAATATGTCGAATCGCCACCCCAAAGTGTTTAGGCCAACGATTTTAGCCTTGTTTCAGAGCCCATCGTGTTCGCCTTGTGAGCATCTCGTGTCGCAGGCAGGTGGCATCCCTGAAGCAACTGCCCAATTGGGCGCTGCATTGAGGGTGTCGCGTCTGATCTCCTGTGTGGTCGACGGTGCCATCGGACCGGGGTGACGGGAGGTGATTGGAATCGGGTCCAACAGGAACGGAGTCCGGAGTCGTGCCGATTTCCATTGGACTCTAGTAACACGGTCGTACGGGATTTAACATGATTTAAAGGTGGTGAATATAAGGCACAAGCCCTTGGAGCCCTATGGACTTTGGTGCTCTTGGCTCGAATGTGCATATCGGCAGCTTTGATGTGTACAACTTGAGTGCTTGATTTCTAGGACACTTCCAGAAGAAGTCTCGCTGGAGAAGGAAACTCCTGGAGCTTTTCAAGCACAAGCCACCTGTGTGTGAATTGGAATCCAGCAAGGCCTTCTCCTCAGATATTGAAACCATATTCACACCGATATTTTTGGATATGATCGTCTCTAGCCTCTAGCGGTATGTACCTCACTCATTTTGAGTCCAAAAAACGCCTGTTCATTTGATGTGATTTGAGGCCATCTCTGTTGCATTTCTCTGCTGTGCAGTGACCAGCCTGGTGATTCCTCGAGGAGGAAGCATGGAAACGAAGGTACCCACAGTCGATGCGATGCGGCGCTCGCGATTTTGCACATGTAATTAGGCACCATGACTCGACGACCACCACCTGTGAGGTGGATGAGACTGGAGTGACTGCTGTGGTGCTCTTGGCTGATGATTTGGCGGCTGCTGACAGCTGTGGTCAGCAGCTGGCAGAGCGATTTCCTCATGCAGCTGTTGCAACTGGGCTTGAAAGACGCAGAAGAGAGGTGTGTTCTGGCCAAACCCCCTTTCAATTTTGGGCGAACAACAGGGTTGTTCTGTTTGTGCTTGAGAGTACTGCCAAAGTCTTGTATCAAAGAAGGCACGGAGAAGGATGAGAAGACTTCAAGTCGGGATTTTACAAGAGTTGCTACTAGGAACAAGAAGCTACTAGGGGCTCCTGGCCTTACTACTAGGAGCAAGGACGCTACTAGAGGCTCCAGGCATCGCTACTAGGAGCGTTCTTGCTAGTTGCCCCGGCCAGACGTGGAAGCTTGACCACTGAACAGCGTTCTAAGCCTTGTGTTCCGAACATGAATGAATGCGAAGGATCTCCCGGGTCTCCAGCGCTCGCCTTTGCGAAGGTCGGTGCAGTTGGAGCGCGCTGGCTGATGAACGATCGTGTCATGCCCTCCCTGGCAGCACTGGGAGCTGAGGGTGGTTTTCCCTCAGGTCCTTGTGGAATCTTGGATCGGAACATGGTGCAAAAAGATGCAAGAAGGATATCTATAGCCCACGTCACTTCAACTGAGAAGCTAAAAACTGGAAAGCAAAGTCCCCCTCTCAGGAACTGTGAGACTGGCTGAGGGCGCCGTGGCTTTGCTCTTGCGCGGTCCTAAGTTGGAGGCGCTTGCAGAAGCTTCATGAAGCTTCTCAGTTTGAGTTTCTATGACTATAGACTCAGTGTCGATGGGGCCGCGACAGCCACCCACATTTGGTCTTGGCAGGTGGTTTGCTGCGATGGAATGCGAGGAGTGAAGCCGGAGCTTGAAGTCACCCGTATCTTGGGACGTGATCGAATTGAACACTTCAACAATGCCCCGGCCTGGCCACGTCTTTTGGAGGCGGGTCTTGAAGAATTCACGAGAATTCATGAGTCTTCCGTTCTCATTGGATGTTTTTTGGATGCTTGTCTCATAGGGTCACACACGGGTGGCGGTAAAGGCGGGGCAGCACAACGAGGATTTTCTGTCGATTCAGAGTGAATGAGAGCATTTCACAATAAGAACACTCTTTACTGATGGTAAAGTGTATGAGCCAACTGGCTTTCACCAAGAAGAATCGAGGAATCTCGAAAGCTTCAGAGAACTTCAGAGAAGTTTAGAAAGCAAACTTGCTCCCAATCCAGCTCTGGATCCCTCTATACTGCTCATCAGAGTGATCCAGAACTCTCCTGTTCTCTCCTGGTGTTCTTGCAATCTGGAGCAAAACTCTCATTTAATCTTTTGCCGCCTCCCGTTTGTGACTATTATGATTCTCAGGTCTTTCAAGGTGCCTCTTTGGAGGAGCAACTCCAACTGCGCTCTCACAAAGCTGTGGCCACTTCACTTGAGGAGTAGGGGAAGAAATGGTGTGTTCTATGGAAGCGTACATTGACCCGAGTATGTCACGGCGTGTTGGGTTCCATAGCTTCTGTGCGTCGCATACCTCGTTCATGTCTGAGGTTTGCGTTCGGAATCCTGGTGAGTTGCGGCGCGTTCGGATGCTTCAGCACGATCAAAACAGTGGAGCCGTGACCATTCCAGGGTCCGACATTGCTGTTGGTGCAAGGGTTCAATTGCTGATCAGAATCTTTTCTCGAAGCAATGGTGAAGTTTTGATTTGTTGCAAACAAAAGCAGATGTGAGATTTCCCCTAGTGAATAACCAAGGTTTGCAGCCTCTTTTCTATCAGTACTTTGATTGCTTTTGAATTAACCTGAATGCAAGGACACCGTGGTGTTGCAGAGAAGAACCTGTTGCCTGCATCCATTCATTGTTGCTATTTGCATACTGGAAGTAGAGAATACATTGTCAAAAGAGATACTGTTGAAAGACTTGACAGTTGCCTTGTTGTTGAATTTCTTGCAGCTGAGAACCCTGCTGCCTGAGCGACTTTCTTTGGAGCATGCTTTGTCCCCACAGCAGCTGTGTGGCTGCTTTGTCTTTGCAGACCGGGCAAGAGGTGGCTTGCAGAAGCGACATGATATTTCAAGCGCGACATGATTTTCAGGGTGTTTTGGGCAGGTTACATTTTCAGAGTCTCATTGAACCACGCGACAGCAATGGGTTTGAGCCAACATGGGACGACATGAACATGCAAAGGGAGTTGGTTGAATCATCTTTCACGATCTTTCTCGCACTTTTCCCCTTTGTGTCTTGTCAATGATGATGTCCTTTTGGGTTGGTCTGTTGTGGTTGCTTTGGGAGAAATGCAGATATAAACCTACATGTAGGTGCTTTCACTCTTGAGATCGGGGCAATACCGCAATGCCGACCATTCGCTGCAAATGGCTAAACATGGAACCACTTCTTCTGGGCAGTTTTTCCTTTCCTGTTCCTTTTCTTTTTCCTTTATTCCCTAGATAGCGAGAGCGATTGGGGTTCTTACTTCAAGTATAGGGAGAGCTGCATGTGTGCGCTTTCGAGCCTGGGTGCTGGTGCCGCTGCAGGGTGCCGCTGCTGTGTGCTCTTGGGAGCTTGGGCGGTGGTGTCCCTGCGTGCCGCTGCTGAGCGTGCTCTTATGAAATGCGAGCGAAGAAGCCGCGACAGCTTGAATGCAATGATTTCAATACTATTTTGGGATCTATGCTGGCGTAATTTTTGTTTTGAATATGCTCAACCTTAACTACGATGTGGTTTTTCGATAGGCATTTTCTATCATTTTCTCATTGCCCGGCTAAAATAAACTTAACAGGGGAACCGGACAAAGCGATAATTTGGATGTAGGCCCTAGGCATTCTTGACAAGTCGATAAAACAATCTGATGTTTCTCCGCAGTTCCTTCTGCAACGCTTCTGTCCTGTTCATCTCAAGATCCGTTTGGAACAATACCAGCAAGGAAGAAACTTGTACTTTAAGCTGTTCCGTACAAAGCTTTTTACAAGGTAAGAGTGTCTTCCCCATGCCACTCCAAGGCCAGGGCTTCTTCGGCCGTGAAGCCGACGCTGCGCTGGTCCGGCGTTTGTTGCCCAGCGGCCATGTCTGCGGTGCTTTCTGCCGCGGGCAGCTGGCGATGTCGCCGGGTGCTCCCGCGGCAGCCCAGCGGCTCGGAGCAGTCTTCGGATTCCTCACTGACTCGACGTTGACTGATTGACGTTGGGTATTTCAATTGATGCCCGTTCGATGGAACGGAATCTCGACGGAGTCTACCTTGTACCTGCCAGAGGTGTGAGAGAGGCTTGAGTTGAGCTGGTCTTGAAGGAGAGAACAATCCACCATGTTCAACGAGAAGATCGCGGTGTACCAGGATGCAAGCCACATTTGCTTCAATTTTATTGATGGGCACCGGTGGTTTCAAGCAGTGGCCTTGAGGGCCTGGGCGGATCATGACTGGAGGACAAAAAGGCCACACTTGCTTTGAGTCCCATTCTTGCAAGCATCCATCATAATGGTACAGAGGCTTTCATTTGATCAATGTTAAAGCGATGATTCTGCGTAGCCGTTTCACAGTTTCCTTGATCAAAGTACATGTGTCAACTTGCAGGTCACTCGAAAGTCACGTGCCTCGTTTTGGTCCGGCCAGGTCATTCCAGAACTGCTTCGAGTTCACGTTGGTGGACAGATTCACCAGAGGCGAGGGTGATAGAGTAGTGATAGGAATCAAACTCATGGTCCTGAAGCATCTTGGACTGCTCATGTTTTGGCCTGAGCTGGCACAAGACGTCCTTGGATTCGGGGGGAAACTGCTAAGGCGTGCCCAATTTGTGGATTTCCAATACGACTCCTACCATATCCTCCCTTCAAGCTCCAGGCGGGTTGATTTAGCAACAGCCAGTTGTTCACACCGTTGGATCGTCCAGAGGTGTGAGGTTAAAGCGGTTAAAGGCATGCTGCCTTTAGCAGCTCTGCCTGACTGCCTTTTAGAATTGCTTTCCTATAGCATCCAGTTTTTGCTTCACGGGAAGAGGGTCAAATCGGCCTGGGACCCAGGCCTCTAGCTATGATGCCCGCGAGCCTGCGAAGCTGGTTGATGGACCATTCATGGTGCTGAAGGCCTTGCTAAACCCCAAGTGTCTAAATTTTACAGTAATCAAGAAGTTGTTGTTGATGCAGTGAGAGGGGCAAACAAGCACTAAATTTGGGGCAATCGAAGCAGACAAAGAATGAAGTACACCAGCAGCAGCAACAGCAGCAGCAGCGGCAGCAGCAGCAGCAGGAGGAGGAGCAGGAGGAGCAGGAGGAGCAGGAGGAGCAGGAGCAAGAGGAGCAAGAGGAGCAAGAGGAGCAAGAGCACGAGCAAGAGCACGAGCAAGAGCAAGAGCGAGGCACTAGGATTCGCACACCAGAGATTTCGACTAATAGATACACATAGCTATTCCAAGAGCTTGCATTCTGTGGCTAGGTGCTCAGCACATGGAACTTCGAGGTTCTTGGGCATGTCCTGACAATCTCCGACATCAAAGCCTTAGACACGTGCCCTGAGCGACTGCAATGTATCCTTCGCTTCTAGGATTGCTGTTGGACCATTTCGTTCTTTTTTTGCCCTGCAGTTGTCAGGTACATGAAGTGGCTTTGTTGCATTGGGAGCGAGCAGTCATTCAGTCCTCTAGGTAGACGCCCGCCCCTACCCAGTGCCTTCCTGCGTTGTAGGGTGTAGTGTAGGAGAGAGCTGTGACAATTGTGGTGAAAAGAACTGGATGAACTAGCAAGGGCATATTATGATGCAAGCTAGAAATGGAATCAAACCATCCATACAAGCTATTTCAAAAGGCAGGCACCTGATTCAAACAGTCTCTGGAAAGTATATGAAACATGGGTTTGTCTCTTTTAAACGTGTCCAGTTTATGTAGGCTGGGATGTTCGACTTAGGCAAAGCATACCCCGAAGCATACCCCATAGTCAAACATCCCAGCCTGGGAACGTCAAACATACACAAAAATACAAGCCCACATGTCTCAAGAATGCATTTGTTGGAACTTCTTGAAGATTTGAGCGCATTAAGACATCATTGTGGTCAGGGTGGGTTGCCGTGAAGCCTTGCTCTGGTCTATTTCCAAGTGTACCTCGCTGTTATAATAAAGATAGTTATGAAGTTTCCCAGCCGGTGGGGTTGTGCTACACTGGTTAGGATTTCAATATCAACTTCATTTTAATAGGATATACAATATACATAGAAGATTAAAAAGGCTTTTGACATGTTGTTATATGTGTTCTTCGCCTCAACTGTTATACTGGCATTGATGGAGTCTTTTAGATTTTGGGTTTTCAAATAAAGTTGATTTTCAGCTTGAAACTGAACTTCTCTGAAAAACTGCCCTGAACAAAACTTGATGGAGGATGGTATCCTGCCTGTTTGCAGTTTGAACTATTCATTGCCTTTGCAGAGCATGTTGTATTCATCCTTCTCAGTGTATTTCAGAAAGTCATCAATGCCTTCAATCATCCTACATTCAATGGGTTCATCTCTGGTGTTGATGTGACAGTCTGTAGAAGCCTTAACATCTAATGTGTATTCCTTGTTCATACTAAGCCTTTCTTTAGTGCCTTGATGTCTATGTTTAGTGTGTAGATGTGGCCATCCTTAATCAATCCAACAAAGGGTTTAATATGATAGTATTGGTTTGATGGCTCAAAGGAGTACATCAGATTACCCATACAATCAAAGATTCTGGCTGATACATGATTCTCTGAACACCTTATTCAATCATGTCATAAATTCATGCTCCAGATGTTTTGAGTTCTTCCTCAGTTTTACCAATAAGTTCCAGAACTTTATCTCTGGGCTCATTGGCATAAAACATTTCAATGTATTACCCAACACTCACTTTTGATGTAGTGCTTTACCTTGATGGCTTCTTCAACTTCATAATTTGATTGCTATTGTGACATGTTTGGGGGCCGGTCATAGCTAGAGCCAACAAAATGAGCGTCTCTCCTCCATGATCAAAAAGGGGTTCTTGGTCTGTCTCCGATTTTGCCTTGTTGCTTTGCAACTTCACCACCATTACTAATACCACGCTCACCAGGAATGTACCTATCCCTCACTGCTCCTTAAAACACAGTATTTGGAACATCTTGGAAGCACGTTTTGAGCTTCTGAGGCGATGTAAGCTGGGTCCATTCCGTTTGGGCCGTGCGCTGGAACTTTACGATGACAGCTCAAAGGAGGTGCTGTGCCATATTTCGGCCCGGCTTGGTGACAGAAAGATGGTCTTATTCATAGGGCACACGCTGGCAAAGTTGGAGAATAGAGGTCCCCAAGTAGATAGAAACAATATCCAAGACATGTTAAAGGGGATTTTGCTCGATCGCTATATTTGATTGAAACTGAACTTGTCAGTGTGTCAAAGCCAGGCTCGTGAAGAATTGGACTCCTTGCGCACAAGAGCACGCCGTCGCTTGGAGGAGCTTGACTGCTGTCTGGTGATGTCACACAAGCAGACATCTCCTCGAGAGATTTGTACAGAACTCTGCACAGTGAAGTTTATCACACTCATGTCACAGCCTTTTTGGCTCCTTCAGAAGTGAAGCTTGCAGGGCCTGAAACACATCCAGCAAGTCCGCATGAACAAGTTGGATTTTCATGGAGAAGGCCCTTTTGTGCTGTGAGCGGCCATGGTGAGCTTTGCGCATCGAAACTGACAAGCCGACAGTGGTTTCACTTCGGCAAAGCCGCTAAACCCAAGCTACGCTGCAGTGCAGGTGAGGGTGGAGATTGTCGCACCAACTTTGCGAGCAAGGCTCAGGCATGTTGCATGCGTTGTATGTGAAAACCACCGGACATTTGAATGTTTTCTGCGTTTCGACATATCCGGTTTGTCGACACCAAATAACCTTCTGTGGACTTTTTCCCCAACCAGTTTACTGTTAGGGGTTCTCAATTCTTTCTTAAGATATGTCTGCCCTTTGTGTCACTGCTGGTGTCCGCCCTTTTCTGCTGGCCATGTAGCACTTCTATTCATTTGTCTCCCAGGTCTGTCACTGCTGGTGTCCGCCCTTTTCCGCTGGCCATGTAGAAACTCTATTCATTTGTCTCCCAGGTCTGTCGCTGCTGGTGTCCGCCCTTTTCCATTGGCCATGTAGCATTTCTATTGATTTGTCTCCCGGGTCTGTCACTGCTGGCGCCCGCCCTTTTCCGCTGGCCATGCAACATGTCTATTCATTTGTCTCCCAGGTGTGTCACTGCTGGTGTCCGCCCTTTTCTATTCATGTGTCTGCCAGGTCTGTCCATGTACTTAGCGTTTCTATTCATTTGTCTCCCAGGTCTGTCACTGCTGGTGTCCGCCCTTTTCCGTTGGCCATGTGCATTTCTCTCCCAGGTCTGTCACTGGTGGCGCCGCCATGTAGCATTTCTATTCATTTGTCTCCCAGGTCTGTCACTGCTGGTGTCTGCCCTTTTCCGCTGGCGATGCACCACTGCGTCCGCCGTCTTGTCTCCCTTCTGTTTCCTTTTGTCTCCCTTCTTGTCTCCCTTCTTGTTGGCCATTGTGCCCGTCTTGTTTCCCTCTGTTTCCTTTTGTCTCCCTTCTCGTCTCCCTTCTTGTTGATGTCTCAAAAGTGGACTTGGGAATGCTTTGTTGTTGTCCCAGCTGTTTGGGGTCTACGGTGGTGTATTTTATTTTTTCAGGCGCAATCAAGCCCGTGCCTGAGCGAAACTGTCCTGGTGACGGCAGGTTTTTCGCCGGTGACACATTTGCATGCACACATTGAGGCAGACAGTAGTGCAGACAGTACGTTTGCACATTTTTGTTTTGAACTAAGGCCGGCAAATTGCACGTCGGCGCCAGTGGGGCAGGCAGGCATTTCAGGGCTCTTAATGTTCTGGATTCTGGAGTTCGCCGAATGTGTGGAGGCCTAGGAAGACTGAACCAGCGGCTTGGCAGCAAAATCCGAGCCATATTCTGCCACATTCTGCCACAAATGAGATCTAGCCAACATGACATTATAGGAATAGTATTTTCTACTAGGAACACCAACGCTCACCAAAGGTCGCTGTCTGGAACGTAAATGCTCCTTGCTAGTCGCAACAAGAATGTTGAAAAATATAGCTGCCACATGCTGCCACTATGTATGTAGTAGGTAGTCTAGGTAGTACCATTATTTTCGCAACAATAACAAGTTCATTTTGTTTTGAATAGATCGCCTGTACGCAGC